TATGGATGAGATTGTGGCTGGCATACCCTGTCAAATGCGGCTTTACAGAGCTCAACGGCTCTAGCCCAAGCTGTGATATAAACGATTGCTATTGACTATTTTAAAAAGGGGCGGGGCTGCTTGATATGTCCCGCCCTGTCTTCCTGTTTCAGTTCAAATGACGTCAACACATAGAGTAATGCTTCATGTTTCTAAGCATTTCAGGGGACCTTTAAGTTTAGGTATGGGTGTAGGATTAAGGAATCTAAAATATGGTCATACAGTATAAGGCATTAATATGTGCTTTATAAGTACTAATAAACATATGCATGCTAATAAGCAACCAGTCAATAGTGAGAATAGTGATCCCTAAAATAAAGTGTTACCTAAAGGTTTTTCTCTCTTGTTACAGCAACTTGTGTTCAACTCCGTTACAAATTGTCTGGGCCCTCGGAAGTTCCTGCACAGTGGAAAACTCTACAAAGCCAAAAGCAACAAGGAGCTTTACGGCTTCCTGTTTAACGATTTCCTGCTCCTCACGCAGATCATCAAACCTCTGGGCTCGTCGGGAACGGACAAAGTCTTCAGTGCGAAATCCCACCTGCAGTATCGCATGTACAAAACGGTGAGACATTCTCAGAAATCGTATTTATTTGCAATCAGTTTTTGACCTTTAATATAATACTTATTCCTTGACCTTTAACCTGACTCGTTGACCTCTGCAGCCCATCTTTCTCAACGAGGTGCTGGTGAAGTTGCCCACTGATCCTTCTGGAGATGAACCTATATTCCACATATCTCACATCGACAGAGTCTACACTATTCGGGCTGAGAGCATCAACGAGCGGTATTCACTAATTACTTGTGTATTATTTAGATCTATATTAACCTACAATACACATGCTCAGATATAATTCTCTTGACGATTGTCATAATAATCTTGACAATGTTCTTCTGTTCCACCCTGTAATCCTGCAGGACAGCTTGGGTGCAGAAGATCAAAGCCGCTTCTGAGCTCTTCATTGAAACGGAGAAGAAGAAGAGAGAGAAAGCCTACTTGGGTTTGTCTCATGTCTTTCCTTACAAACCCCTCGCTGATTTAATAAAGCTATGAATGCGCTGAGTGTTTGCTAAGCACTGGTTTTGTGTTTCTGTTATGTTTGCAGTGAGGTCTCAGAGGGCCACTGGTATCGGGCGGCTAATGGTGAACATTGTTGAAGGCATTGAGCTAAAGCCCTGCCGTTCAAATGGTAAAGAATGAATACTGCTTAATAAAATTTAAGGTGCTTTACGAGGTTATAAGCATTTTAGTACTATTGATCATATCATAAAGGTCCATTGTGTGTGTGTTTGTGTGTGCAGGGAAGAGTAATCCGTACTGTGAGGTGACGATGGGCTCTCAGTGTCACGTCACTAAGACGCTGCAGGACACTCTGAACCCTAAATGGAACTCAAACTGCCAGTTCTTCATCAAAGACCTGGAGCAGGATGTGCTGTGTGTCACTGTGTTTGAGAGGGATCAGTTCTCCCCGGACGGTCAGTATAATCATTCACTTACTCTCTTACTCATGTACTGTATGTATGCTCTCACATACAATCAAACATATCAGAATGTATATTTGCTGCTGTGTGGGATCAGTAAGATTTTTAACATTTAAAAAAAACAAAAATCTCATCTGCTCAACAAGGCTGCTTTGCATTTATTTGATAAAAAAAATATGAAAATAGTGATTTTAATATACTTTAAAATATGATTTATTTCTGTGGTGGCAAAGCTGAATTTTCAGCATCATTACTCCAGTCTTCAGTGTCACATGATGTTATATATATATTATATTTATTTATTTGTTTTTATTTTTGGGGGAAAATTTTATACTTTTGGGGATTTTTTGATGAATAAGTTAAAAAGAACAGCATTTATTCAAAATAGAAATCTTTTCTAACAATATAAGTGTTTACTATCACTTTTTATCAATTTGACACACACTTGCTGTACAAAAATATTAATTTCTTCCAAAAAATGTTTTAAAATTATGGTAAAAAGATGGTAGTGTATATTATTACAAAAGATTTCTATTGCATTACGGGAATAAATTATATTTTATATAAATAAATAAGGGAATAAATAAGTATATTCAAATAGAAAATCTTCTTTAAGAATATTAAAAATCTTACTGCAGTATATATATATATATATATATATGTGTGTGGAGTTTATTTGCAAAAACAGATAACTACGTTTTTAATTTTTCATTGTGCATTCCAATTAATCTCAATCAAACTGCAGTTGGGTTATTTATTAAAGTAAAAATAACTTTAAAAAAATACAGCTAACTAACACAATAAAACACAATAAAAACATGATAACATTATAAAAAAATGTTTTTTGAAAATAAAAAGTAAAAGAGTTTCTGTTTTTGCACAAACTCTTCGTGTGTATGTGTGTGTGTGTGTGTGTGTGTGTGTGTGTACAACAAAAAATATTTCAAATAATGGCTGCTGAACATTCAGCTTTGCCATTGCAGGAATATGGGAATAAATTATATTTTATATAAATAAATAAGGGAATAAATAAGTATATTCAAATAGAAAATCTTCTTTAAGAATATTAAAAATCTTACTGCAGTATATATATATATATGTGTGTGTGGAGTTTATTTGCAAAAACAGATAACTACGTTTTTAATTTTTCATTGTGCATTCCAATTAATCTCAATCAAACTGCAGTTGGGTTATTTATTAAAGTAAAAATAACTTTAAAAAAATACAGCTAACTAACACAATAAAACACAATAAAAACATGATAACATTATAAAAAAATGTTTTTTGAAAATAAAAAGTAAAAGAGTTTCTGTTTTTGCACAAACTCTTCGTGTGTATGTGTGTGTGTGTGTGTGTGTGTGTGTGTGTACAACAAAAAATATTTCAAATAATGGCTGCTGAACATTCAGCTTTGCCATTGCAGGAATAAATTCAATTTTAAAACTGATTATAATGGAAAACTGTTATTTTAAATTGTAAAAATATTTCTTGATGAGCATAAGAGACTTTTTTCGAAAACCTTTAAAAAAAATCTTACAGATTCCAAACTGTTGAAAGGTAGTTTATATATAATCATAACCACATAAAGTTTTTCTTTCTCTCTCTTCATCTTTGTAGATTTCTTGGGCAGGACGGAGATTCGGCTGGCCGACATCAAGAAGGACCAGGGCTCTAAGGGGCCCATCACCAAGCGACTGCTTTTACACGAAGTCCCTACGGGAGAGATTGTGGTGCGACTGGACCTTCAGCTCTTTGATGAACCCTGACCCACGTTGTTTGGCCTGACCTTTTAACCCCCAGAATCCATATCCGCTACTCCTCCGTGGTGAAAGCCCACCAGCCCTCCACCCAGCATCATGAATCCCAGAGTGTGAATGTGTGTATTTGCACAAGCGTTTGTAAGTCTGCAAAATGCTGTAACAGTCTTAATCAGTGATCCCGATTGGATTTTTATTGTCCTTGATACCTTTTGAAGACAAGTGTGTGAGTGAAAATGAAGGATGTACTGTAGAGGGAACCTTTCAGTTCCCTAATGATGTGAAGGATGTCTCAGGATGCTGTGTAAGTCTTAAAGAGTCAAACATACAGTAGTTGTATTTAACACTCTAATGACCCGGGAGCAGTAGTGCCATTTGTGTGTTCTAGAATGAAAGTGCCATTCATTCTAGAATACACAGAATCATTCTAGAATGATGACACGTTCCAAATGATGTGCCATTCCAGTGAAATCCGTCATTATGGGTGAATCTCATGAAACCTTATTTGCATAATTCAAAAAATATATATATAATTCGCATAACTGTAATGTGAAAAAAATGCTGATATATTATTTAAATTGTTGCGTAATTATACATGTTGGTAATATTTGTTGTACTGCTTTTAATTTATGCAGGTTTACTTTTTAAAAAATAGTTAAAATTTAAAAAATTGTTCTATTACAGTAATGAGAATCATAAAATATAATGGTCCTGAAATAGGTCATATTTTAATGCAAAATACTAGTATTTTGGTGTGACCTGGACATGTTTTTGTGAGATTCACCCTAATAGTCTTACTGGCTGTTCAACATTTTATTCCATAATTTCAGTCATTAACACTAAAAACTAAAACCAGGTTTTGCTGGCAAACCTCCGTTGTAATTTAAAAAATTGTTCTATTACAGTAATGAGAATCATAAAATATAATGGTCCTGAAATGGGTCATATTTTAATGCAAAATACTAGTATTTTGGTGTGACCTGGACATGTTTTTGTGAGATTCACCCTAATAGTCTTACTGGCTGTTCAGCATTTTATTCCATAATTTCAGTCATTAACACTAAAAACTAAAACCAGGTTTTGCTGGCAAACCTCTCTAGTGTCAACCTACTCATTTATTTCTGTTCCGTTTTTACTGAAAGATATTTGGTGACCGTTCAACAACTGAATGTAGTCGAGATGTTTTTTTGTTTTTTTTGTGAGGGTTCATTAAACGTGAGCATGTTCAGGGAAATTTTCAGCAAGTCTCGAAAAGATACAGCCACAAATGCTCCATGGAAAGACTATTATAATATAAACAAAATGAATTATGGGAGGGAAATTGTCATTTGTTTTTCAGCGGTTTTTTGTCATGTAGCTTTTATTTATTTTTATGTTATTGAGAATGGGACACATCTCAGAGGCCAACTGAAATATGATAGCTGAAGCATTTCCCAGCAAAAAAATCTAATCAAATAATTAATAAAAAAATTTAAAAAACACATATTTGTCAGATGTCCCTAAAAGGCCCCCCCAAAAAATCGATGTTCTTAGTTTTATTGTGGTACATCACAAGGTAAACTATTTAATATATTGCCTTCATGACATGGCGGCGGCGGCAACAACAATACTAGAGCGAGAATAAAAGTTACACCTTCTTTCTTTGCGTGAACATTTGGGCGGCGTTATGCAAATCTTCCCAGATAGTGACGTAGGCATGTGGGGGTGTGTTAGAACGAGCCGTTTTAGGTAGGCGTGGCTGACTCTTAACTTTTATAAAGAATATCTCTTTGGATTTGAGACTTTAGTCTTTGCAACTTTACAGAGCTTCTTTATGCACCAAGAGCTTGTAACACTCCAAAGAGAAAGGAACATTTTTAATCACATCATATGACCCCTTTAAATGGTTTTCATAAACTATTGTCTAATATGAAATTAACCTAGCATGAAAAATTACAGCATGAGCCCTCCCTCTCACTTTAGTGGTCTGGACTGGAATAATATCTATTGAATTGCAATGTCATCCATTGTAGAAAACGATGTACATTTTGAACAAAAAGTTGATTGATTTGTTTGTTTATTTGTGTATATATTTTGTTTGTCTGTGTACCACAAATTAATTTTTTTAAATGGGTTGACACCCATCATTTTGATAGTTGGCAAAAGTAAATTAGTAATAAATAGTATGTTATTTTTGTAATTTTTTTTTTTTTTTTTTACAGATGGCACAGCTAACTCCATACCAGATATTTCCAGTGCTGAAGCTGTGGCTGTGGCTGTTGCCTCTGGTGAAGTTCCAACCCTTCGAGAAGTTTGTCGTGAAGAAGCCTTTCAGGTCTCTAGCACCATCCCAGAAGTCTCCTCACCTCAATCAACTGAGCATCTTCCTGTTGTTGAGACCACATCTGCCTCTCTAAGTAAAGCTGTAGATGCTATGTCAGAAATGTCTGGTAATGCTCAAAGATCTATCAATCTAACGGACCCAATTCTAGTGCACACTGAGGTTTTAGAGGAAGAGGATCAGACAGAGGCAACTGAAGAGTTAACTGAGGGTACGTTTCACACTTATTGCATTCAATACCTACATAAATCTTACAAAAATAGGAATATTTAGTTGTTGTTTATGCACCCTCCCAATTTTTGTTGACAGTTATTTGTGGGAAATGACTCCAAGATATTGCAAATGTTATATATTATCATAAAGGTCAAATTCACAAGCTCTATGCAATTTTCAGAAATGCATAATTGTATGCAATTCATTGTTGAAATACATTTACTTGCATAATTACTTTGCACTTAAGTTTTTATAGTGCGACAGACAGACCATTTGTTTATGGTTGTTTCTTGTCCTGTTTGCTGCATATCTAATTTTTTTTTTAATGTATTTATTTTTGCAGAAAATACTAAAGTTCATTACATAGTTTAGAACTAGAATTCTTTTGCATTCTGTTTTTACTTTGTTGGGATGTTAGCTTTAGCAGTATTTAGTTTTTTCCCCCTAAAATAAACAAAAAGACGTTCCATGCCACACAAACATAAGCAAGGGATTTCAGTCTCTAATCTGATGGATGTCTGAATTCAAGAACTGACCTGCTGTAACAACGAAGAGAAAGTTTATATGTGTACGGCTTCTGTAAACATTTTCCCATAACACAAATATTTGCTCACACTGATGCCTGGATTGAATCAGCACGGTTTGCTCTGTAGGTTTCTTTTGAGCTATTCTGATCTTTACCACAAGAGGGTGGACATGCCTGTCTCTTGACATCCTTTATTATGGATCTTTTTTTTCTTTTTGCCTGTTTGCTTTTCATAATGCAAATACTTTTATTGGGATAAGTTATAATTAATTGGAAGGTAGGCCTATAAATATTTTTTATTTAAACATGCAGTGCAGTGGAATTCTAATCTGAATTGTATTATCAAAGCACATAATGAAAGCATTCTGGCTAATATTGACATTTTAGAATTACTGCATATTTATGTGTAACAACTAACAGGGATTTCTCTCACATCTGCAGCACAACTGGATCCGATACAGAAACTCTTTCTCGACAAGATAAGGGAATACTCCACAGAGAGCCAGTATATACTACATAAATCAAATAACAGTAAAACATTCCATGCATTCCAATATATATCAAACTTCTCACATATTCTTAATAACACTCCGTGTTGTCCATAGAGCCTCTGGTGGCCCTGTAGATGCTGGACCAGAATATGAGAAAGCTTTTAGTGAAGAACTAAACAAACTCCAGAGACTCTATGGGAGTGGAGACTTAACCGAGTTCCCAGAATTTAAGTTCTCTGGTGGGTATATATATATATATATATTTGCCTTTGCTCTGTTTGAGTTACCCCATTTTTGTTGCGCATTTAGAATGATTATGAAAGTTCAGATTAACTTTTTTTTTTCACCTTTTTTTCAGAGCCTGAACTGGATGAAGGCAGCTCAAACTGAAAATTGCCTTTGCTCTGTTTGAGTTACCCCATTTTTGTTGCGCATTTAGAATGATTATGAAAGTTCAGATTAACTTTTTTTTTCACCTTTTTTTCAGAGCCTGAACTGGATGAAGGCAGCTCAAACTGAAAAGCTCACAGAAGCATGCCGTTTATGATACTAATATTTGAAATATGTCAGTTTATAAATCGCTAAATTATTTGCGGTTACAGGAAAAAACAAGGGAAAGCAAAAAATAAAGTAGCTGGAACGTTAACATTTTCACAGTGTTTTTTTTTTTTAATGTAATGCTCTGGATGGCCGTTTAAGACGTCCGTGCACCATGCAAAAATTGTAATAATTTGATAATCTAATTTACAAAATAATTTTACAATCTCTTTTGTAATAATATGCATGCAACATTGCCCCCACAGACAGAAGTCTCAGGGGGCGAGCGCTTTTCCCTATACCGTAATGTCTCCTCCCACCTCATAAATATTCATGAGCAAAGTTGCCTGCGTGCCGTTACGCTGTGACGACATGGAAGAGCAGCGGGTCCCGATTGCTGCAGCCGCTTGTCATTGTGACGAAGATTGGCACTAAGGTAAGCTGTCACTCAAAAGCTTCTTTTCCGACTCCCTATCAATCAAGCGATCTGGGCCGCGCGCTAAAAATGCACTCGGCGCTTCCGTGGGAGGCGCGCGGTCTGGATGGTTTTGGGCTGAAATCGGATGTTTGGACGGCGGTTTCGGGGGAGATTTTCTGGCTCGACTCGCAGTCGAGGCCCAGCTCTTTTTTTTATGATCTTTTGTAGAAGTGCGAATGGCGGCTGCACTGGTGGGGAGGGATAGCCCGACGTCCCTTAGATTGATTGATAGGCGATAATGGGCAGCCTTTTTATTATATTTAAAGAGACAGAGACGATGTTTTTCATAAGTGAGCGAAAAGTCCAGGCGGTTTGTGTTTTTGCATTATGTCGCAGGTTATGCAGTATAATTGAGTATTAATTGCGCCCGCGGTTCTCAGGGGTGTCTGGCGTTTCGAGGAAAACGCTGTATCGATTTGAACATATAAGCAATGGGTTTGAATAGAGACTCCGAACAAACATGGCGCCTACAGTAATAGAGAGGATGAGATGCACTCAGGCATCTGTGGCTGAAGAAAGGAAGAAACCACGACGAAGATATAAAACCACATTACAAGAAAATTGTGATTCCGGGAACGTTGACAAGCAACTCGAGTATGTGTTTAAAAGTAGATATTTAAGGCCATTCAAAGCGAATCCCTCGTTGAAGTCGTGTTGCAGTGCAGATACATCACGGAGATATTTAGCGAGGTTACTATTTATATCGCGACTTTGTGTTCGCAGAGAGCACTGCAGATGTGTATCCCGTTTAGCGCACAAGTTCAGTTTGAAGCAAATGAATGTAATGCATCAAATCAAACAAGACTTTATACATCGTTTTCTCACTTACACGTAAAGTACAAAGTTTTGATTTTGAGAAGAAAATACAATAAAAACTGATTTGCGTTTTTAATCGGTACGGGTGTTTATAGAGCAAGGTGATTCATTACATGTATAATGTCGATTTTTATATATATATGAAATGAAATGTGGAATTAAACAGTTATTTTACAAACTATTTACTATAATAATTGAATAAAAACTGAAACAAAATGTTAATTATTCAGTTAGGTAAGGCTGAAGCTACCGATATTTGCATAAGCGTGCACGGTTATATGCTGGTTATAACGTCCAAATACAAAAAAAATCATTTTGACAAGTTTTAAATATTGATTAATTGGCCTGACCTATATTTGCATGTCAATAAAGCACTTTATGGCCCTTATACAATGAATAAAAAGGATCAGAATCACCTGTATTGCCAAATACATGTATACATGTTCAAGGAATTTGTCTTGGTGTTAGTAATAACAACAACAACAAGTTAAACATTTTAAGGTAAGAGTAAAAAGAGAAAAGTAAAGAGAGTTATGAAGTGAGCAGAAATATATATATATATATAAATAACACACACATACATGCATATACAGTTATATCTCTTTATTTTCATATATATATATATATATGTGTGAAAATAAAAAGAGATATATAACTACATTTGTGCAAAAGTGGACCAGTGGAAAAGTTTTTTAAGATGAATATAAGAATATATATATATATATATGTGTGTGTGTATTTATATATTATTTTTTCTGGTAAAGATTTGCAGCTGTTTTGCCGTTTTTCACATAAATCTTTGTCTTTTTTGTGACTGTGTCAGTTTAGTGGAGCTGAAGATCAGCTTTATAGAATGCCCAAGCGTTGTCCACAGCAACAGTAACTATGATGACATCCCCATCGGTGTCCATGGAGGATTACCAAGAGGCTGAGCAGGTTTGTGTTGCCAAAGAGCTCTTCATACAGCCAATGGAGTACCGTTATTGTTTTGCGTGAGTGTGTTTAATTGCCCTTTTAAATAAAGCATTACTCATCTTTATATTGCAATAAAAATTCAATAAACGCTTTATAAACATGCAAGTATGACAACTCACAATCTGAGATTGATGTCTTGTGAATTCTGGGAAGTTTGATCTCTGCGGCATCGGATGGAGAGATAGAGAGACTCGAGACTAACCCGAGATTTTCCAGCAGTCGTGAAATATTTTTAACATTTCCCCCTTTTCAATCAACGCTATTGTTGCGCTCCGTCACATGCACTCAATCATGTGGGCCTGTCCCAACTATAAAGTACAAAGAAAAAAACTGTATGAATGAGAAAAGAATCCAAAAGAACTGTTGGTTCTTAGCTTACTGTATATATTTTGATGTCCAAATAAATTATTACACAAGACATCTGCATATCTTGCATGTTGAGTCACTCAATGTGCTGGTATCTCTGCATTTTTACACTGTTTTTCTGCTAAATAGTCTGAAACTAATGTGAAAAACCACTGTTAAATCTGTGAAAGCTTTCTAAATCTGACAGAAAAAGATAGAGTAGTCTTAAGGACTGAGAGAGAAGCCACTTTGTAAAAAATGAGGTTTTGTTGCATGCTTTGAAACCCCATGTCAGCCCTTAGGGTCTGTGACAGAAAGGCTGTTTCTCAGAGCGGCCCACACACGGATGTTACCGCCCGCAGACATGCCAGCTGACACTGCTAACTTCCACATACCTCACACATCTTCATTCTCTGCCCCTCTGTGCCCCGTGCAGATGCAAGTGGGAGAGCAGTCGGCGGGACAAGTGGAGGAGAGGTTGGAGGAAGAGGAGGAGAGAGAGGAAGAGGAGAGCAGCTCAGCACCGTCTGAGCCACAAACTCCTATGGAGGTCGACAAGACGGCCATTTACAGGTAGCTTCTTTTCTTTGTTCTTGTGACGTGTTTCTGAAAAAGCACAGTTGACTGTGCGTTTTTGGTTTGATGTATAAATGATGTGTTTGTTGACTGTCAGACACCCCTTGTTCCCCCTGCTGGCGCTGCTCTTTGAGAAATGCGAGCAATCCACTCAGAGCTCGGAGTGCGTGACCTCGGCCAGCTTCGATGTGGATATCGAGAACTTTGTGCGAAACCAGGAGAAAGAAGGCAAGGCTTTCTTCAGTGAGGACCCCGATTTGGACAATCTGGTAAGAATCACTCGTTAAACAGAAGTTTTTGGTGTTTACACTACTGTTAAAAAAATTGTAAATTAAAAAAAAAAATCTTTATAAAAGAATGCCGACCAAGGCTGCATTTTTGATCGAATAACACAATGTAAATAACTTTTTTTTCTATTTGAATATATATTGAAATGTATTGCTGTGATGCAAAGCTGAATTTCCAGCATCATTATTCCAGTCTTCAGTGTCACATGATTCTTCAGAAATCATTCTGATTTGCTGCTCAAGAAACATTTATTATTATTAATGTTCAAAACGGTCGCTGCTTAATATTTTTGTATGCATGATACATTTTTTCAGAATTATTTAATGAATAGAATTACAGCATCTTTTTAAAAACAGAAATACTTTTAACAAAAAAAAGTCAGGTCAATTGATTGTATCCTTTCTGAAATTATTCATTTATTTCGGAAATAAAATAATTTTACTGACCCGAAACTTTTGTATAGTAGAGTACATTAAACACAAAGAAGATTTGTTTAATATAAAAACTTTGTTCTTTGTAAATAATTTATTTTAATGTAATAACCTAATAAGTAATAATTTTATGTAATTTAATTAAACACCATTTATTTGAAAAATGAATATTTTATAAATGTACCAGCTGTAACATTATAAACGTATTTACTGTCACCTTTGTTCAATATAATGCATCCTTGCTGAATATAACTCTTAATTAGAAGAAAACAAATTCTGACCCCAAACTTTTGATCCGCATTGTACATTCAGTAATGCATGATATAAAATAGTGCTGCACGATTAATTGAAATTCAATCGCAAAGGCGATAAATCGCGATTAGGCAGAAGCTGCGATTGTCATCATGCGTATCTTTCAGTGAAGCACGGTTCTGTGATCAGCAGTAAATCTCTATCCGAAGGCCAGAGGGTTCTCTCGCGCTGAAACTCCAAATACGCCTCGCAGAAGAAACCCAGGAAATGCCTATCGCTGCAGCTGAATAAACAGAAGATTCAACTGCTTTGATTAATTCAGTGTGACTAATAAACACACGACTTCGACAATATATGGTTTATCTAAGTTCGTCTTATTATAATTTTTATTATAATAAAGTATATAATAATGCAATGCTAATCGACATAGCCTTTATCACTGCTTAGAATACTATGAAATATGTTGCGTGCCTCATCATCTCACAGAAGGATTTATTTCAAACACTCGACTGACGTTATGAAGTGAGTTTGGAGTAAAAACATGTTTTTAAATGTGGTATTTTCACGTACTTTCAGATGGAGCAGCATTTACTACACAGAGCCGTAGATCACTGACATGCTACACGAACAGCTTTCATAATCGCAGAACGATTTCTTCGATTTCATAATCGCGAGATTATGAACGTGATTTTGCCTTGCTTGTCAGTGAACTACGGCTCTGTGTAGTAAACGCTGCTCCATCTGAAAGCAGGTGATGGAGATTTAGGCTACTACTAATCACAGAACCGGCTTTACTGACAAGATACGCATGACAATCACATTCGATTAATCGTGCAGCCCTAATATAAAACAGTCATGATATATAATATGTCAATATTAAAGATTTAATCGACATCAGTTGATATGGATATTTAATTGTGCATGCTAATTTTTAAATTTACATCATCTAACACTCACTTTGTTAATCTTTAAAAACACAAATAATTTAATAACACTTTAATGTAATCTTTAGCAAATCTCAAAATGAACTTCTATTTTTATGCTTTACATTATAGTATTGTGATGTTTAAATTAACTTTATAGCATCTAAAATAACTAGTTTTAGTTTTTAGTGCTTATTACCCTTATTGTATTGGTCATAACTTCAATGGTGAAGCAGCATTAGGTTGCTGCCTAATCAGCTACCCAACATGAGGAACTAAAACATTATAATAATAAATATTTAAATTTTAACACATGCATTTGAGCGTCCATCTCAGACTACATGATTGGTGAGGAAGTGAAAACAGAGTGAGCGATGTCAGGTTTGGTTTTAGGGTGTCATACAGTGGGCTGGATTCAGGGTTCATTTTAAAAGAATAGTTCACCCAAAAATGAAAATTAGCCCATTATTTACTCACCCTCAAGCCATCCTAGGCATATATGACTTTCTTCTTTCAGATGAATCCAGTTATATTCTTTCAGAGTTATATTAAAAATTCTTCTTCCAAGCTGTGTAATGGCAGTCAGCGGGTGTTGCAGTGCATCAGTCCAAAAGAAGTGAAATAAAGTGCATCCATCCATAATAAAAAGTGCCTCACACGGCTCCGGGGGGTGAACAAAGGCCTCCTGTAGCGAATCGATGTGTTTTTGTAAGAAAAATATCCATATTCAAAACGTAATAATCACTTTAATGTATCTTGCGTCAGCAGTTGTACACAGAAGCAGTTCCGGGAGGATGACCTATGAGGTCAGCGCTGCACATGCACCGGTGAGTCTCGTGAAAACCAACATTTGTTAACAGGAGCAAAGGAAGCAAAGTTTCCTTACTTTAGCAAAGGAAAACCAGTCTCCTCTTGGCTTATATCGAAATCCTCCGACATTCTTCTTTACAAATCCTCATTTTGTACTTATAATTAGTGACCGCTGTTTTGTTTTGATCACTTCTGAGCAGCGCATGTGCAACGCCGACATCTTACGTCATCCGCCCGGAGCTGTTTCCGTGTACAACAGTGAGCGCAAGCTAGATTAAATTGATTATTAAATTTTAAATATGGTTATTTTTCTTACAAAAACGCATCGTTTCGCTATAGGAGGCCTTTGTTCACCCCCCGGAGCCGTGTGAGGCACTTTTTATTATGGATGGATGCGCTTTATTTAACTTCTTTTGGACTGAAGAACTGCAACACCCTCTGACTGCCATTACACAGCTTGGAAGATCAAAGACAAATTTTAATATAACTGAAAGAAGAAAGTCATATACACCTAGGATGCCCTGAGGGTGAGTAATTAATGGGCTAATTTTCATTTTTGGGTGAACTAACCCTTTAATGCCAATGCAGACCTCAAACAGTTCATTAAGTTCAGTTGATCTTCTGATGACTGTACTGTGCTTTCTAATCGAACAGATGGTGAAGGCCATCCAGGTGTTACGGATTCACCTGCTGGAGCTGGAGAAGGTGAATGACCTGTGTAAAGATTTCTGCAGCCGCTACATCGCCTGCCTCAAGACCAAGATGAACAGTGAGACGCTGCTCAGTGGAGAGCCAGGAAGCCCGTACTCCCCAACACAGACACAGGTACGCTCAAAAACACTGTAGAAATCTCCATCTCCGCTGAGGAAATAACCGCTATGCACATGTTCTCCTCATAGCCGCCGAGTTCCTTCTCTGGAGCCATGAGTCCCCAAGGTATTGTATTGCCAGCGTCAGCTTTACAGCAAGGCAACGTTACCGTCACAGCCGTAAACCCCACACAGGTGCTAACAGGTTTGTTGATTGTTTTACTCCTGCTCTCCGATTCGGTTTTCTTCCTCATTCTCTCATTTCGTCGTATATTGACTGTGTGAGCGTGTTTGTTTTAACCCAGGTGGTACAGTGTATCAGCCTGTTACAGTTGTTACTCCACAGGGGCAGGTGGTCACACAGACTCTGTCACCTGGAACAATACGCATCCAGAACTCACAGGTGAGATGCCGTCAACGAACACGCTCATTTCATGCAGCATTCAGAGTTTTTCTGGTGTGCTGATTCAACTATTCAGCAGCACATCTTCATAATCTATTACAATACGAATGGCATTAGCACACACACACTCCTGACAGCCCCGTCTGTATTTCCCACAGCTTCAGCTGCAGTTGAACCAGGATCTAAACTTTTTCAGTCAGGAGGACAATTCGTCTAAGGCCAAGAGAGGCATCCTTCCCAAACACGCCACCAATGTCATGCGTTCTTGGCTCTTCCAGCACATCGGTGTAAGTTTTTTCTGTCCTTCACTGTTTTATAGTGTTCACAGAAAGAGTGTTTGATCACAAACGATTTTTTACTGTTCACACCAAGTCTCAGAGCCCTCTTATTGTTTTAACCCCAGCTTTATCGCCTTACTTTTTTTTTTTTAAATGAGTTACAAACAGCATTTCATGTTCACTTCAGTGAAAAATACAGTACAGCCAATATCTCAAATGTAGTGGATAAATTGACAATCACCTGGATTGGGGTAGTAAAAGTAATGTATAATAGGAATATTTTGTGGTAAAGTCATAGTATGATTGTCTGCTGTTATCAGTATTAATAAAAAATTATAATTATTATATTTTATTAATAATTATTATAATAGTAAATAATAAAAAAAGTTCCTAAGTAGATATAATGGATGTACATTACTATTTAAGTTTTGGGTTGCTAAGATTTTTTTATGTTTTTGAAAGAAGGCTCTTAGGCGCACTAAGGTGGTATTTATTTAATAGAAAATACAGTAAAAACGGTAAAATTGTTAAATGTTATTACAAATTAAAACACCTGTTTTCTATTTGAATATATTGTAAAATGTAATTTATTCCTGTGATGTAAAGCTGAATTTCCAGTATCTTTACTCCAGTCTTCAGTGTCACATGATCATTCAGAAATCATTCTAATATGCTGATTTACTGTTCAAGAAACATTTCATTATTGTTGAAAACAGTTGTGGAAACATTTTTTCAGGATTCTTTGAAGAATTAAGTATAAAAAAAATAACATCAAAGCATTTATTCAAAATAAAATAAAATAAACATTGTAAGTGCTTGTCACTTTTGGTCATTAAGTATTAATATTTTTCAGGGGAAAAAATTACTGACCCCAAACTTTTAACCAGCAGTCCATATTAAACAAAACTTTCCTATGATGCAAAAAAGATCAAGATTTTTTCAAATGTAAAAACTTTTGTTCTATGTAAATAATTGAATAATCTTTATTTAATACCTTAATTTAATTGAAAACCATTTTAGTTGTAGTGCTGTTAATTGAATCTGCTGAAATATAATGAAAACTTCTTATCAGACCACAGAGCTACTCTGAGGAAAACGTTCTGACAGCATGTAAAGCTGAATTTCCAGTATCTTTACTCCAGTCTTCAGTGTCACATGATCATTCAGAAATCATTCTAATATGCTGATTTACTGTTCAAGAAACATTTCATTATTGTTGAAAACAGTTGTGGAAACATTTTTTCAGGATTCTTTGAAGAATTAAGTATAAAAAAAATAACATCAAAGCATTTATTCAAAATAAAATAAAATAAACATTGTAAGTGCTTGTCACTTTTGGTCATTAAGTATTAATATTTTTCAGGGGAAAAAAATTACTGACCCCAAACTTTTAACCAGCAGTCCATATTAAACAAAACTTTCCTATGATGCAAAAAAGATCAAGATTTTTTCAAATGTAAAAACTTTTGTTCTATGTAAATAATTGAATAATCTTTATTTAATACCTTAATTTAATTGAAAACCATTTTAGTTGTAGTGCTGTTAATTGAATCTGCTGAAATATAATGAAAACTTCTTATCAGACCACAGAGCTACTCTGAGGAAAACGTTCTGACAGCTTGAATTGATGTATAGATGAATTAAGAAATGAAAATAGAAAAGAAATAGAAATGTATAGATGAATTAAGTGAGCTGGTAGGTGTTGACGGCACACATGTTTGCTTTCACTCTCACAAATACCAGCTGCTCATGTGACTAAGCGTCTGGAGAGAGCGCTGATCGCTGAAGAGTCCTGCGGGGAGGTTTTCTGTCAGGCGTCTGTTTAGACGGGCGGCCCACAGAGACACATTGTTCTAATGAAGCGGAGAAAGACAAAGTTAACATGTAGAGAGTTCAAAGATAGAGACACTAACCAATAGAGAGAATTATTTCTGCCCCCCCCCCCCTCCCCCCAGCACCCTTACCCTACAGAAGATGAGAAGAAACAGATCGCCCTGCAGACCAACCTCACCCTGCTGCAGGTTAACAACTGGTGAGTTATCAGACGTTGATACATACTGTATGCAGGTCAGTGTAGTCGTCTGGATCGCCTCTGACTGACTCGATGTCTTCAGGTTTATTAACGCACGCCGACGGATCCTTCAGCCCATGCTGGACGCCAGCTCCTCGGACACACCCAAGAGCAAAAAGAAGACGCCCCAAACGCGCCCCCTACAACGCTTCTGGCCCAACTCCCTCGCCTCCTCTGTGTCCCAGCAGCAGGTCACCATGGAAGATGGTACGGCCCATGAGACATTATAGATTAAGCAACACAGAATATGAGTTTAGTTTGAGGCGCAGTGGTACATTTTAAGATATAGAAGGGGTGTGCAAAACTCCAACTGTTGATAGGATGGTTGCCAGGGCATTGCTGTGTGGTTTCTGTGGTGTTCTGAGTGGTTTATAGCACATTGCTGTATGGTTGCTCTGATAATCTAATGCTTACCAAAGCAGACCTGACTGATTACATGGGTCCATTTTCTAGTCAATTATTCAAAAATACATTAAAAAGCAATTCAGTCATAGAATGACTTGAATAAACCTCTTTTATGATTAGTATATTTTTAATTTAAATCAAATTAATTTTGATCTTGTTGGAGAGTATAAAATAAAACATGTCATGACAATTGTTCTGACATCATAATGAAGAAAAAAGATTTTTTATTAAACGACCGAAATTCTTGAATATTTCTTTATTTGGTTATTATTAATAATAACCAAAATAACATTAATAGTAGTAAAATAATATTTTAAACAAAACAATTTGTCTGCCAAAAGTCATGCGGTGTGACCACATGTAGAAATAAGCAGAAAAAATTAAAAAATATATATAAAATTTAATGGTATTTATGGATGCATCATTTATGATTTTTGTAATTATTTGAATGTAATAAACATCTTAATTTAATATAATTTCCTGTTTAACTTATTCTGTTATCCGTTTAATAAATTTTTAATTGAATACATAAATATGTTATGACATTTATGGAAGAATAATTCATGATATGTATAATCTTCTAATTTAATAATCATTTTATTTTTATTTAATTTAATTTCTTAATTAAAAAAATTATTGAATTTGTAATGCTGCTTTAGTTAAAACATTTTCATTTAATATAATATACATATATAAATATATACATATATAAATATTTAATGATACAGTGTGTATGGATTAATAATTCATGAATTTAGTAATTCAGTTAATAATCTTTTTTTTTAATTTAATTTGAAAAAATAATAATAATTATTATTGTAATGCTGCTAACAAGTTAATTTAACTGACAACATCCAGATCTGTAGAGACGGAATCTAGTAAAATACAAGAAAAGCATCACATTATCAAGCTAAGAAAAAAAATGTTCTGACAGGTTAAATTAATGTTGTTTTTGTTTGTTAAAACTGATTAATAATTGATGATTAATAACTAGTGCTCTCAAACGATTAATCGCAATTAATCGTATCCAAATAAAAGTTTTTGTTTACATAGTATATGTGCGTGCACTGTGTATATTTATTATGTATATATAAATACACACACATACAGTATGTATTTTGAAAATATATACATGTATATATTTATATTAATTTAACTTATAGTTTATATGAATGTATTTATTATATTAACATAACATATATATTTCTTAAATATATACATGCATGTGTGTATTTAGATATACATAAAAAAAATATTACGTCAATTTTAAATGTGATTAATCGTTTGACAGCACTATTAATAACCCATGAGACTTTAATCGTTTTTGCAAAAATAATGATTAAGTGTTATAATTTAATTGCCAATGTTTAGCAGTTTTATGTAGATTCGAAGCGTTTTGTTTGTCATACTCAGGTACTACGGTAACAGTCGGTGTGGGTGAGGACGGCCTACAGACGCTCTCTTCAGATGGAGCTACGCTGGCCATGCAGCAGGTCCTGATGGGAGGTCACAGCGAGGAGGATGATGATGATGACGAAGAGGACGAAGAGGACGAGGACAATGATCCTTCCCACTCCGACATGACCAGGCTGGGCCTGGAGACCAGTGATTCGCTGTAGTAGGACTGAACGACTCGCACACACACACACACACACACACACACACACACACACACACAGTTAGTATAGAGAGAGACATTTAAGGCGCATCAGAGCACTAAGAAGAAAGAGACATTCACACAAACACCTCGGCTGATGTGTTGAAGGTCACAGAACATCCCCAAGCTGTCAAACAGCTCGTTTGAAGTACAGAGAAAGGGCTTAAAGCCACACACACGCCAACACAACCCATACACACAGCAGGTCAAAATGAAGACACAAGCACAAGTCTCTCTCACGGTGGAACGCACGCATCATTTCCGACGCAGTTAGCCGAGTGCACTTTTTGTATGATACTGTAAACTTAAAGGAAGTGTTCAAAGCACATTTTGAAAGAGCTAAAAGGAAGGAAAGTAAAAAAAATATTGATGCTGGATGATTCAGTTGTACTTATCCTCATGGTCTGGGATGCTATGATGATGAGATTTCATCTCTTGCATGCCTGTGTTTGCTTTAATCAGGCACCAGAAAGAAGAAGGAACTATTTTTATAGTACACTTGTCACAAGTGATCGGTGCCAATTTGTTTGTTTTCTCCATTTGTTTGTTTTGCTCTGGTTTGCCATGTTTTGTAAGGAGTATTTATGTATGAAAAAGTGAAAAAGACAACACTTTTAACGTGCTCACCCTGTTTTGGAGGGGATTGTGGTAACTACTTAGTACAAAGTACAAAGAATCAAAGAATGATGAAGGCATAGACTCTGAAGCCTTACATTTTTACATTTCTAATGCCACAATGTGAGACACTCATATTTATGGAAGCTTATTTTTTCTACAAGATAAAACAAAATTTAAAAGGTAATTGCGACTTTTTATCTTACAATTTTTTACTATTTTTCTCAGAATTGTGAGTTTATATCTTGAAATTCAGTGTTTTTCTCACAATTCTCAGTTTATATCTGACAATTCCGATTTTTTTTCTCGTAATTCTAAATTTATATCTTGCAATTCATATTTTTTTCTTGCAATTTTGAGTTAATATCTCACAATTCAGATTTTTTTTCTTGCAATTCTGAGTTTATAGCTGACAATTCCGATTTTTCTTGTAATTCTACACTTATATCTCGCAATTCAGATTTTTTTCTTGTAATTCTAAATGTATATCTCGCAATTCTGATTTTTTTCTTGTAATTCTAAATGTATATCTCGCAATTCTGATTTTTTTCTTGTAATTCTAAATGTATATCTCGCAATTCTGATTTTTTTCTTGTAATTCTAAATGTATATCTCGCAATTCTGATTTTTTTCTTTAACATAACATATATATTTCTTAAATATATACATGCATGTGTGTATTTAGATATACATAAAAAAAATATTACGTCAATTTTAAATGTGATTAATCGTTTGACAGCACTATTAATAACCCATGAGACTTTAATCGTTTTTGCAAAAATAATGATTAAGTGTTATAATTTAATTGCCAATGTTTAGCAGTTTTATGTAGATTCGAAGCGTTTTGTTTGTCATACTCAGGTACTACGGTAACAGTCGGTGTGGGTGAGGACGGCCTACAGACGCTCTCTTCAGATGGAGCTACGCTGGCCATGCAGCAGGTCCTGATGGGAGGTCACAGCGAGGAGGATGATGATGATGACGAAGAGGACGAAGAGGACGAGGACAATGATCCTTCCCACTCCGACATGACCAGGCTGGGCCTGGAGACCAGCGATTCGCTGTAGTAGGACTGAACGACTCACACACACACACACACACACACAGTTAGTATAGAGAGAGACATTTAAGGCGCATCAGAGCACTAAGAAGAAAGAGACATTCACACAAACACCTCGGCTGATGTGTTGAAGGTCACAGAACATCCCCAAGCTGTCAAACAGCTCGTTTGAAGTACAGAGAAAGGGCTTAAAGCCACACACACACCGAAACAACCCACACACACAGGTCAAAATGAAGACACAAGCACAAGTCTCTCTCACGGCGGAACGCACGCATCATTTCCGACGCAGTTAGCCGAGTGCACTTTTTGTATGATACTGTAAACTTAAAGGAAGTGTTCAAAGCACATTTTGAAAGAGCTAAAAGGAAGGAAAGTAAAAAAAATATTGATGCTGGATGATTCAGTTGTACTTATCCTCATGGTCTGGGATGCTATGATGATGAGATTTCATCTCTTGCATGCCTGTGTTTGCTTTAATCAGGCACCAGAAAGAAGAAGGAACTATTTTTATAGTACACTTGTCACAAGTGATCGGTGCCAATTTGTTTGTTTTCTCCATTTGTTTGTTTTGCTCTGGTTTGCCATGTTTTGTAAGGAGTATTTATGTATGAAAAAGACAAAAAAAAAACACTTTTAACGTGCTCACCCTGTTTTGGAGGGGATTGTGGTAACTACTTAGTACAAAGTACAAAGAATGACTATCCGCTGAAGGCATAGACTCTGAAGCCTTACATTTTTACATTTCTAATGCCACAATGTGAGACACTCATATTTATGGAAGCTTATTTTTTCTACAAGATAAAACAAAATTTAAAAGGTAATTGCGACTTTTTATCTTACAATTTTTTACTATTTTTCTCAGAATTGTGAGTTTATATCTTGAAATTCAGTGTTTTTCTCACAATTCTCAGTTTATATCTGACAATTCCGATTTTTTTTCTCGTAATTCTAAATTTATATCTTGCAATTCATATTTTTTTCTTGCAATTTTGAGTTAATATCTCACAATTCAGATTTTTTTTCTTGCAATTCTGAGTTTATAGCTGACAATTCCGATTTTTCTTGTAATTCTACACTTATATCTCGCAATTCAGATTTTTTTCTTGTAATTCTAAATGTATATCTCGCAATTCTGATTTTTTTCTTGTAATTCTAAATGTATATGTCTCAATTCTGATTTTTTTTCTTGTAATTCTAAATTTATATCTCGCAATTCTGATTTTTTTCCCCTTGTAATTCTGAGATACCTTGCATTCAGATTTTTTCTTGTAATTCTAAATTTATATCTTGCGATTCAGATTTTTTTTCTTGCAATTCTGAGTTTATAGCTGACAATTCCGATTTTTCTTGTAATTCTACACTTATATCTCGCAATTCAGATTTTTTTCTTGTAATTCTAAATGTATATCTCGCAATTCTGATTTTTTTCTTGTAATTCTAAATGTATATGTCTCAATTCTGATTTTTTTTCTTGTAATTCTAAATTTATATCTCGCAATTCTGATTTTTTTCCCCTTGTAATTCTGAGATACCTTGCATTCAGATTTTTTCTTGTAATTCTAAATTTATATCTTGCGATTCAGATTTTTTTTCTTGCAATTCTGAGTTTATAGCTGACAATTCCGATTTTTCTTGTAATTCTACATTTATATCTCGCAATTCAGATTTTTTTCTTGTAATTCTAAATGTATATCTCGCAATTCTGATTTTTTTCTTGTAATTCTAAATGTATATCTCTCAATTCTGATTTTTTTTTCTTGTAATTCTAAATTTATATCTCACAATTCTGATTTTTTTTTTCTTGTAATTCTGAGATACCTTGCATTCAGATTTTTTCTTGTAATTCTAAATTTATATCTTGCGATTCAGATTTTTTTCCTTGTAATTCTAAATGTATATCTTGCCATTCAGTTTTTTTCTTGTAATTCTAAATTTATATCTTGCGATTCAGATTCTTTTCTTGTAATTCTACTTTTATATCTCGCGATTCAGATTTTTTTCTCGCAATTCTGATATATCTTGCAATTCAGATTTTTGCTTGTAATTCTAAGTTTATTTCTCGCAATTCTTCAATTAGTTTATACCTAGCAAATAGTTTATATCTCACAATTCAGACTTTTAATTCAGACTTTTTTCTCGCAATTCTGAGGAAAAAGAGCAGAATTGTGAGGGAAAAAGTCTGAATTGTGAGATATAAACTAATTGTGAGAGAAAAGTTGTAAGTTAAAGTTAAAATTGTAAGGCTAAAGAGTCACAATTTCCTTTTATAATTCCATGGTGGAATTAAATATAAAATAGCCTAAGCTTCCATACATATCTGATGTCACTTCCTGTGCAATCGGCATGGATACCGCGTCCAATAATGATACATTTGCAAGGTTGTGATGATGTTTGTGAAATTCAATGCCTGTAATTGTTGTATGAGAAGAAAATGTGCTTTTTAATGATTATATTGCAAAAACTCAAAGTGAAACAGAGAAGGACGTCAACAAGTCTTTGTATTTATGTATAGCTATTTTTTGGCAGAGGGACTCATCATTGATGTTAAACCCCTTCAGCTCAAACATTTACGACTTATTATGAACAGTTCATAGAGTTTTTGCAGGAAAACTTGTTTTTTTTAAAAAGTGGACAAAACAAATGTTTTCAATATTTAACAATTGATTGCATGTGTTTTCATTTATTATTGTAAAGAAACTCATACAATATTATTTTTTGAAACATAACGTATGCTCACAATAGAAATACATATCTATCAGTATAAACCCACAGTCGAGCTGTTAGTAAACTCTTGATGGTATATTTCAATAACAAATAAGCTGATATAACATACATTTTGATCAAATGTTTTGTCCCATTTTACGAGCTGAAATTCGTCCATTTACAGCTGTCACTTGATTGCGCTCATATATCCTGTTTTCTGCATATTTAATGTGTTCAGTATGTGCTGTAGGCTGTCTGTACTGAGCGGCTTTTCATTTGCAGCAGTAGTCTTGTGATGCCATCGGTCAGATGACGAAGCCGAAAGGAGAAACTGATTGTTTAGCATGTGGAGGTTTCAACGCTGCACTTTGAGCATTTTTCTCTTAGCTTCTATAATCGCTTCTCTCTTACAAACACACAGATTTGCCTTTCAGACTCTTGGTTTTGTAATAAAGAACACTGTACCTGAAGGACACTTTGTTGTGTGTGACTGTATTTGTGCATCCTGTAGTAAGACATCAGAGGTCATGGGCCGAGAGAGTATTTTTAGTGTAACCTTCACTCAGTCTGGTGTGTAAACAAATGAATCATTTGAGGGGGTTGCAATGTTGTTCATGGAAAGTGGAAAAAGTTGGCTTTTATTTAGTATTATTTTTGGTCTGTTTTCTCTCGATTGTTTGGTTTAGCATGTATTCATTTCGATACCAAACACAAAGGAAGTGAAGGCAAGAATACAGAGATTCGGAGGAGCAAAACAGAGACTTAAGATGATGCTTTTAATATGCCACATATATTATTAACATGAATTTAATGAAGATAATAAATGCATCACATGTTAAGCGTGTATACATTTGACCTTACATACAAAAATATATGCACTAAAATGTTTTGACATGCATTGATGAATGATAAATAATTGAGCACAAATAAACAAATGAATAATATACAATAAATAGATACCGTTTACAAATAAACTGTAAATTACTACCTACATTTTTTTTATTTTAACTGATTTTCATTCTGGTCAATAGAATCAGCAGGAATTCTATTTAAATATAAGGGTCATTCTATAATTTAGTGTACATTTCATTTCCATTGATGATAATTCTACTTTTTTTCTAACAATTTTCATAAGAAATGTCATATTTTATCCATTATGAGAATGCATAATATAATCTCAATCATATATTTTGTATACCCTGATTTTCAATTTGCTCTCGCCACATTACATAAAGCTTAATTTTGCCTTTATGTCCCTTAAATTACAATTTTTGCAATGTTCACTTTTTGAATTGCGTGGGGCTTGAGTTCAAAATAATGAATAACATTTTTTTTAAAAGACTATCTATGTTCCATATCTATAAAAAAACATTTCTATAATTCAAATACCTAAGAAAAATAAACATTTTGAACACATTATGGTAAATGTCCTCTTAATTTTTTCTATATTTGATCTTCAGTGACCTGTAACCCTTAGTTAATTTACTGAGAAAGAGTATTGTTTTTCCTGACATGAATTGTATCCGAAATTATAGAGTGAAAGTTATAGAATGAATCATATATATATATATTCTCCTTCATAAAGCCCTGTTCACACCAAGAACGATAACTATAAAGATAACGATATTAGAGTCCACACCAGCAAACGATATCGTCTGTTTATTCCAAGCGCACGTGCGTCTGCCGCATTAAATTCTCGAGCTCGTTACAGCAGGATGGATTCTGATTGGCTGTCAATGTTTTTATCGTTCATCAGCTGGAAAAAATCGTTCTGGAAGTGATTCCAACGATATCGTTTCTCCGTGCCTTTATCATTATAGCTGTGGTGTGGACTCTTTGAGAGAGTCTCTATTGAGAACGATATTTAGAACTATATCTTTATCGTTATCTTTATAGTTATCGTGCTTGGTGTGAACGGGCCTTAAGTCATGTTGGATGTTATGTATTGAAATAGAAGCTCATCCACTAAGATGCTCAGCGCCGCTGATCCTCTTCTTTCTGATTAAAAACAAAACAAAAAAATATATATTATTTGTATTTTCAGAAGGAAACGCCACAAACATTATTAGCAGCTGAGGCACACAGGCAGGTATTCAAAAACCATTTTCAGTTGATTTATCAGTTGAATGCTGAATGTTATATTAATGTGAGTAAATATAGGATTGTGAAATTGTAATATTGAATGTCTTTGATGAAATTAAAACCAAATTGAAAGCTTGTGCTAGTATCAAATTCTGTGTTGGGTCTGCAGTTCAATTTAATGCAGAATAGTCGAGAAGACGCAGTGTTTTACAACACAATCGCCGCTAGATGACTCCAGTGTCCCAGAAACCTTTTCAAAGGTCAAAGAGACTCTGAGGAGCAGGAACTGTGTCAGTTATTCATCAGCACAAACACAGTTAATGAAATATAAATCAGAGTGTTAACTAGCCAATGAGAATAAAGTTCACTTGTCATCCTGTAACTGAATAACACCCCGCCAAAGCTCCTTTACTTACTCAGAGGCCTAGTTAACTATGACTAGTTGGTCTGGTCATTATTAAAATATGGTTTGGATTTGGCAGAAAAAATGTTGCGCTTGAAAGATCTCTTGACTCTTCAATCTGGAATAACACTTCTGTAATTTATAGTTATTTATTTACTTTTTAAGTACTTTTTTTATTTAATTATTTTAATTAAGTAAATGTTATTTTTTTATATACTTATTTTAGTTTGCACCGTTTTAAACATTTGTGTAGGACCTAACAAGCATGAAAAAAGGAAATTAATAATAATATTAATAATCTTAATAATTGGATTTTGTTAATACTTGGATTTTTTTAAATATGAAAAAGTTGGGAGTGCATCCATAGTCAAAGTTCAAAGGAAGTTCAAATGTTCATATGATGAGTGTCCCTCCACATTGAAAAATGTACTACTTTTAATTTACCTTTAAGTAATTCAGCTGATTTAGACATTTCATTTGTGTTACATTGTTTTATGTTTGTGTGACAGATTTTTATTGAAATAAATTAATGGTAGGCCTATAATGTATTGAATATATTATCTAATCGATGTTTGTTTTGAGATGCTATTGACACCATTGTGGAAAATTCATATATATATACAGTACCTCCATTTGTTGCTGAATCCATGTGAGAGCTTCACTTATGCTGGTGTAAATTCCTGGTTTGTTTGCTTGTCCACAGCTCTCAGCCCAGCTGGCTGCCCCCACCAATGTCCACCCGGACCCCTGACAGGCCAGAGGCCCTCCACTGTCCCCCTACAGACAGAAGACTAGGGGTTCAACTAAGGTGCAGATACATTTAAGAGTGCTTACTTTAATAACAGCTATTGTAGTTTATTGCGATGACACTCAGATGCAGTACCTGACATGTTCCAGCACCACCCTCTGAGAATCCTGCACAGATGTTCCAGGAGGTCAGACCCAGTCTGCGGCAGTCTCTGCTGGACCGTAATGGGACCTGAGCGATACGTAGGGACACACTAGCCTCTCCTGCGCGACACACACATGTGTATTCTGAAGAATTGACTTTAAAAATACACTCAGTTGAAAGCAATATAGTTCAACATGCCTTCAAAAGCTGTGAAACTTGTTTACTACAAACATTTACACAATAACTACCAGCCATTCAACTTTTTCTCTATTAAGTGCCCTTAAAAGTGTGCTAACACTCACCACTATCCACTGTGGCTCCCCAGCCTGAGATCAAACACATCTGTCCATCCTCAAAGCTCTCGCCATAACTGGGCAAACAGATGGGTACTACTTGTTCTGGAAAGGGAGAAAAAGGAGATGTATTGTAGTAAAGCCATGATTATATTCCCATTTAAAAGTCTGTTTATACAAATATTTCAGCCCGTGACGAGAAGTAAATTCTTACCATTGAAAGACAGAGGTAGTTTAAGCTTTATTAGCGCTATGTTGTAGCTGAGTCCTCCTGGCCTGTAGTTGGCATGGTAGATGATTTTCTCCACAGAGAGAGCTCCAGCTCCACCCAATGGCTGGTCTATTATCCCAGCATACACGGCCCATAACACTGGCTGAGTAAAGCTTTGAACAAAAAGAATCACAAATTTAAGTACTGGACCATCATAAACTAATCTGGACGAGCCCAGAGCTTGTATAAACTCAGCCGGATCAATATCAGATCAACATAAACTAGTCTGGACCAGCACAGAACCAGTATAAACCAGTTTGGAATGGTACCAGATCAGGATAAATGAGTCTGGACCACTAAAGAACCATACACTATCAAATTTTGCTACAAGTTTGATTGCAACATATAATCATTGCTGTTAATAGTGTTCATCATCTGTTTGATTACGTCATTAACTGAATTTTACCGTACATTTCTACCATATGTACATCAATTTGACATAGTCACCACTTACAAGCTACTACTAAATATATTGTAGAAACGGAATTTTCTGTAAAGCTGCTTTGCAACGATTTGTATCGTGAAAAGTGCAATACAAATAAACTTTAATTGAATTGAAGAACCAGCATGAGTCTAAACCAGTATAGAATAAGTGTAAACCAATCTGGACCAGCACCAGACCAGCATAAACCTGACTGAGCGGACACAAAATCAGTATAAACCAGCCCTGATCACCATCAGTCCTAGTGCAGAACCAGTATAAACCAGTCTGGACCAGCACTAAATCAACATAAACCAGTCTGGGCCAGCACAGAACCAACATAAACCAGTCTGGACCAGCATCTAACTAGCATAAAACAATCCGAACCAGTGTCATAACATTATAAACCAGTCTGAACCAGCACAAAACCACTATAAATCAGTCTGGGCCAGCACCAGACCATCACAAACCAGTCTGGACCAGCGCAGAACCAGTATAAACCAGTCTGAAGTAGCATCCAACTAACATTAAACAATCTGGACCAGCACAGAACCAGCATAATCCAGTCTGAACTACCATCCAACTAGCATAAAACAATCTGGACCAGCACAGAACCACCATAACCCAGTCTGGACTAGGATCCGACTAGCATAGCACAGTCTGGACCAGTACCAGACCATTATAAACCAGTCTGGACCAGGACCAGACCATCATTAACCAGTCTCGACCATCACAGACCCATTATAAACCAATCTGAACCCATCTGGACCAGCACAGAACCACCATAACCCAGTCTGGACTAGGATCCGACTAGCATAGCACAGTCTGGACCAGTACCAGACCATTATAAACCAGTCTGGACCAGGACCAGACCATCATTAACCAGTCTCGACCATCACAGACCCATTATAAACCAATCTGAACTTAATAGTGTTCATCATCTGTTTGATTACGTCATTAACTGAATTTTACCGTACATTTCTACCATATGTACATCAATTTGACATAGTCACCACTTACAAGCTACTACTAAATATATTGTAGAAACTGAATTTTCTGTAAAGCTGCTTTGCAACGATTTGTATCGTGAAAAGTGCAATACAAATAAACTTTAATTGAATTGAAGAACCAGCATGAGTCTAAACCAGTATAGAATAAGTGTAAACCAATCTGGACCAGCACCAGACCAGCATAAACCTGACTGAGCGGACACAAAATCAGTATAAACCAGCCCTGATCACCATCAGTCCTAGTGCAGAACCAGTATAAACCAGTCTGGACCAGCACTAAATCAACATAAACCAGTCTGGGCCAGCACAGAACCAACATAAACCAGTCTGGACCAGCATCTAACTAGCATAAAACAATCCGAACCAGTGTCATAACATTATAAACCAGTCTGAACCAGCACAAAACCACTATAAATCAGTCTGGGCCAGCACCAGACCATCACAAACCAGTCTGGACCAGCGCAGAACCAGTATAAACCAGTCTGAAGTAGCATCCAACTAACATTAAACAATCTGGACCAGCACAGAACCAGCATAATCCAGTCTGAACTACCATCCAACTAGCATAAAACAATCTGGACCAGCACAGAACCACCATAACCCAGTCTGGACTAGGATCCGACTAGCATAGCACAGTCTGGACCAGTACCAGACCATTATAAACCAGTCTGGACTAGCAGCTAGCTTGCATAAAACAGTCTGGATTAGAACCAGATCTTTAGAAACCAGTCTGAACTAGCATCTGACTAGCATAAAACAGTCTGGACCAGTACCAGACCATTATAAACCAGTCTGGACCAGGACCAGACCATCATTAACCAGTCTCGACCATCACAGACCCATTATAAACCAATCTGAACCCATCTGGACCAGCACAGAACCACCATAAACCACCAGTCTGGACTTGAATCCGACTAGCATAGCACAGTCTAGACCAGTACCAAACCATTGTAAACCAGTCTGGACCAGCACCAGACCATTATAAACCAGTCTGGACCAGCACCAGACCATTATAAACCTGTCTGGACTTGCATCTAGCTAGCATAAAACAGTCTGGACCAGAATCAGACCTTTATAAACCAGTCTGGACTAGCATCTGACTAGCATAAACCAGTCTGGACCAGCACCAGACCATCATTAACCAGTCTCAACCATCACAGACCCATTATAAACCAATCTGAACCCATCTGGACCACCACAGAACCACCACAAACCAGTCTGGACTTGCAGCTGACTAGCATAGCACAGTCTGGACCAGTACCAGACCATTATAAACCAGTCTGGACTAGCATCTAGCTAGCATAAATCAGTCTGGACCAGAACCAGACCTTTATAAACCAGTCTGGTGGACTAGCATCTGACTAGCATAAAACAGTCTGAACCAGTACCAGATCATTATAAACCAGTCTGGACCAGGACCAGACCATCATTAACCAGTCTCGACCATCACAGACCCATTATAAACCAATCTGGACCAGCACAGAACCAGTGCAAACCAGTCTATACCAACACCTGATCACCATAAACCAGTCTGGACCAGCACAGAACCAGCTCGAACCTGTTTTCTGCAGCAAGGATGACATGATACTCACCCGTACACACAGTGCGCAGCAGTGAGAATCCAGCGCTCACTGATGACTGATCCTCCACACAGATGCTGGTTCTGGTAATGCAGGCTGACCTGCCACGGGACCAGCCCAGACCTCGACAGATTCCCTCCCACAATACGACTGCGGACGGCTGGCCTGGAGCCACACTCTACACCGCAAAACACAAACTGGATCTGAGTGGAAAACTCACCTAAATTTAGTTTTGCATCACAGGAAAATAGTTAAAAATAGTTATTATAAAATTGCAACATTTATGTTTTCACTGTATTTTTGATCAAATAAATGCAGCCTTGGAGAAGAGAGAGAGAGAAAAGAAAGAAAAAACAATATCATCAAACACTCACCTATACACTTGACAGCAGTCACTACACCAGAAGTGCACTGAGTTTTTCTGGAATAATAGAAAATACACTTTTAGTGCCATCAATATCTTTCTTTCTATCTGAACTACACACAGTTTCATTTCTATGCTTCCATTTACCTTTGTATTAAAAAAGCAAATCAACTATGTCTCATTTAATTTCGGTGTACTCCACACTGAAATTAAATGAGACAAGAGTTGATTTGCTTTTTTCAAGATGGCTTTCTTTAAGACAGAATTGGCTCAAAACCTCTTCTCAGCTGCCAAAAAAAGGCCATTCTGGTGTTCATACATCTGAAGGTTAGAGATCTCGCAGCTTTGGGACTCAGAGACAGTCCTAACTGCTTTATCAGGAACTAAAGATAATTCTGAACATCAATATATCTACAGAAGTACTTCAGATTGTTTGGAGTCAGTATTGAACAATCTGCCATGCAATGCGTCAGTCACTGGACTGATCTTATTTGACAGTCTTTGGCCTGAATAACACTTCCTCAGGCTTGAGTCAATTTGATTTAGATCGGAGAAAACAAGTGATTGTAATGCTCATTTTAAGCTAAGGCACAAGTGCTGTCAATATTAGTTGATTACATTTAAAACTTACATTCATGTTAATTTTGAATTAGACATGAAAAGAAAATGACTCAGTTCAGTAAGGGAGTCATTTGTGACTTTAGTAATTTTTGTAATTTTTGTCAGTAGTTCACTGACAAGCTAGGCGATATCGTGTTCATAATCGAATGCGATTCATCTGCGATTATGAACGCGATATTGCCTAATTGTCAGTGAACTACGGCTCTGTGTAGTAAATGCCGCTCCATCTGAAAGCAGGTGATGGAGATTTACTACTAATCACGGAACCGGCTTTACTGACGAGATGCGCATGACAATCGCATGTGATTAATTGCACAGCCCTACTGTAAGTGATTTGAATCAGAATCATCCAGTCAGTGAATGACTCAGAGTCATTACTATGGTCACAAATGACTCCCTTACTGAACTGTGAGTCATTTTATTTTGAAAATTAACATTTGCATTTTATTTTCTTATTCTCTTAAAGTTCATTATTTTGGCTAATATGTGTGACCATTTAGTTCCGCCTGGAGCCCTGAAAACAATTTTTTTTACATTTTGGAAGGGTACATTTGGTTTCTTTTGCACAAAGGAGTATAAAGGAAAGATAAGGATGTGATATGTGGCCAAGTATGGTGTCCCATACTTGGACTTTGTGCTCTGCATTTAACCCATCCAAGTGCACAGCAGTGAATAGTGGCCACACACACACACACACACGCACACCTTGAACACACCCGGAGCAGTGGGCAGCCATTTTTGTTGTGGCGCCCGGGGAGCAGTTGGGGGTTCAGTGCCTTGCTCAAGGGTCTCACCTCAGTTGTGGTTACTGAAGGTGGAAGAGAGCGCTGGTCATTCACTCCCCCCACCTACAATCCCTGCCGGAACCGAGACTCGACCCACAACCTTTGGGTTACAAGTCTCTAACCATTAGGCCACGACTGCCCCCAAAAGAAGCTTTACCTGAGGTGTGAAGAGTTTTGGATCTTGAAGATGTCTTGAAGGCCTGTTTGGTTGATATTAAGAGCCACTAGATTATTCTGAAAGACTGCTTCAATGGAGGAGATGGGAACATCAGTAGAGCTCACGTAGCTACAATCAGACAGAGGACAACAAAAGAGCAATCATTAGTCAAATGAATTTTCCTTAAATAGCAGGCATGGGAGATGATAATATCGGCTCCGATGTTAGTCAGTGGAGATGAAGAGAATAATTGCAGACCAAGGATCTGAAGTTACTGAGATTATAGTCTGGATCTTTCACAGCTGTCCCACTGAGCAGGACACTGACGGCTGATTCTGTAAATAGCAGACCCCTATGAAAATTACACTAAATTTGTGCTAATTTGTACACCAAAAATGCCATGCAAATTTTTTATTATGAATAATTTTATCATTTTGAAAAAATTTCTAGTTATTATTTTCCAAGCTCTGAAATATTTTATTGGGTAATTAAATAAATAAATATTTTTAAAAGGTAATTTTCCTTAATCTTTATCCAGTAATTCACAAATAGCTGGAAAGGTCATTAATTCATTGGTCAAAAAGAGTAGGAACCCTGAAGAACATTCGGCTCTTGAAACCTAGTTTCCCATCCATGTTTGATTGTGTCATTTAGTTCAGGTGTGTGTCAGTAATTATCTTCATTAGCTTCTGTACTTATAGTTCAGTCTGTTCCATTAGTCCATCAGTCTGTTCCATTTTGTGTGGTATTGAATGTCGATGTTGCTGTATGTGATGTGCTACGTGTGTCTCCTGTCTGCCGTTGTGGATTTACCCCCGTGTGGATTATATTAAATACTGTTTGAATTCATCTCCTTCTTCGTGCACTCCTCATTCACCGTAGCGTGACATTATCATTACATCAGATGTACCAGATGAAAAAAAAGACAAAAACTGTACACATCCAGCAGGCAAAAAGCTCAATGAGGGTGCTCAATCACAAAAGTCTGAAAACGTCAGCAAACCAGAGCTCTAAAAGTAGAAAAATAATTTAATGCATGCGATATTTCAAGCCATATGGTCTGATGAAGAGCTGTTCACTGTCAGTGTTGCTGTACATGTATTTTTTATTTATTTTTTTCTACTTTTGAATCTCTGGGGTGCCAAATTGTTCTTAAGACCAAATATACCAGAGGAATATAATTGTCTGATAGTACATTGTAATTCTTTGTACCTGTTGTATCCCAGTTGTCTGCAGGCTACAGAGCCCAGGTGAGAATCCCAGCCTTCAGAGCACACAGTCCTCCATGAGCCCCTACTGAACACCTGCAGAACAGAGTTCCTGCCACTCACACGCACTGAGAGAGAGAGAGACAGAGAGGTTAGGGTCAGGTTTGAGGATTGGGAAAGATTAGCTCATGGGGACAAAATTGGTGTCAAAGTTGATCGTATGTAATTTTTTCTTTGAAATCATTTAGAGTATGGATTAACAGAAATGTGTACTGAAACAATAAATAGAGTCGATATATATGTTATATGTTGATTTTAAGGTCAAGAAGAGAAGGATAGGATCAACCCACCACAGTTGAGCTCGTCTTCTCCATCTCCACAGTCCTCGACTCCATCACACACAGCATTTCTGCTGATACACTGAACCGATGACAAACAGCGGAACTTTCCTGAGCAACTCTTCAGACCCACTGGAGAAAAGGAGATTGAATGCATGATGGTGACAAACACACACACACACACTCCTGTCTAAAGGAAGTTTACACAACCATCTGTCGTCATAGAGCAGGGTGGAGCTCATTAAACATTTACAGTTCCCACTGCTCAGGATCAGTTTCATTTAATAAGGAGGGTACTTACTTACCTTCACACACACATATATTTTCTTGCCATGGTGGGGAATTGCTTTTGACTTCTCTTGTCTATTACTAAGCTGATTGTAATTCTACTGTCTATTAATATTTTTTCCCATAAGCCTATACCTGACCCTAACACATTTAAATTTTTTTTCCATTTAGACATTATATAGTTTGTCAAGTTTAAGTTTGTAAGGTTTAGGCAAATCTGCCCAAACACAAGTTAATATATTTGTATATTTGGAATCATTAAGTTTTTTTTTTAAAGTAAAAAATGTTATATTGTGAAACATTATTACAACTTAAAATAACATTTTTTTTTTTTATTTTAATATATTTTAAAATGTAACTTATTTCTGTGATGACAAAGCTGGATTTTCATCATTACTCCGGTCTTCAATGTCAAAAATTATTATTATATGATTATTTGCTGCTCAAGAAACAATTTAGTATTGTTTTATATTATTATTGGAAAATGTAATAATTTTTTTCTTCAGGATTGTTGGGACAGAGGCAAAATAAAAAACGAAGAGGTTATAAAATATCCACGTTAAACTGTTTTGAAACGGTTCACAGTAAGCAGGTGAATTGGTAATAGGTCAAGGTATATTGTTTGGGTATAAAAGAAGCATTTCAGTCTTTGCAAGCAACGCTGTATCGTGGCTCATCACTTTGTGCCAGATTTCACGAGAGAAGTGTCAAACAAATCAAAAATCACATTTCGCAATGCAAAATTGCAAAGAATTTAGGTCTTTCACCAACTACCACACGTAATATTGTGAAAAGATTCGGGGAATCCAGAGAAATCACAGTACATGTAGGGCAAGGCAGGAAACCTCAGTTGAATGTGCTTTACCTTTGAGCCCTCAGATGGCATTGCATAAGAAACCGTCATGCCGTGGTGTTAAATATAGCCACATGGGCTCAGGAGTACTTCAGAAAACCACTGTCATTTACCACAGTCTGCTGCTGCATCAAGAAATGCAACTTGAATCTCTGTTACTCTAGGAGAAAGCTATACATCAGTTCTATGCAGCAATGCTGCCGGGTTCTCTGGGCCAGAGCTCATCTCAGATAGTCAATAAGACCACGTTTCAACTTGTTTCCGGAAAAAATGGATTTCAAGTTTTCAGTCCCAAAGACCAAAGGGTCCATCCAGACTTTCACAGAGTGAATGTGCTAGACTGGCCAGCAGATCTATCTCCTACTGAAAATGTATGGCTCATCATGAAAAGGAAAATCAGACAATGATGATCACGGACTGCTGAGCATCTGAAGTCTTGTATCAAGCCAGATTGGACAAATATTTTACTTACAGAACTTTAACAATTAGTATCCTCAATTCCTAAACAATTAAAAACATTGTAATTAAAAGGACCGTTGACGTGACACAGTGTTAAACATGCCTCTGTCCCAACTTTTTGCAGCTGTCAAAATCTAAATTTGTTCATATTTACAAAATAAATTTACCTTGGTCAAGTGAAAACTTTGGAAATCTTTTCTTTGTACTTTTGTCAATTAAATAAAAGTTAAAGAGAATGAACAAATCACAGATGCTTGATTTTATTGTATTTTACAAAATGTCCCAGCTTCTCTGGAATTGCGGTTGTAGAATGATTTCTGAATACCGGCAATATAATACAATGCTGCCATCACAGGAATAAACTACATTTATATGAATATATCATCATTTTTTCAATTGAAGATGTCTCTGGACATCCCTAAAGGCAGGTTTGGTAAGATTTAAATAACCTCTGGAGGACAATTTTGCTCCCAAATTCCAAAAAAAAAAAAACACAGACTCACCTCCCAAACCTATTCCTAGAACCAGAACCAAGACAATAAGCAATCCCAAGATGATGAGCAGAGCCAGCAATCTGCGAGACACATATGGCCAACACAAAGACTTCAAGTCTGACAGTCTTTCTCCTGAGAGACAGAGAGAGGGAGGGAGACGGCTGAATGAAATCAGTCTGCTAAAGGCCAGAGCTGCCAGCGGAGTAAGACTGATTAGATCACTGTTAGCACCTTAAGTGTCCGTCCTCTAACCCCTGTGTAACTGGCCGTGTAAAGCACATGCTGAAGCCATTTCAGATTGTACTTACTCAATGTGACACACCAAGAAAGTGAGAAGCCTGCTTACCGTCCAAGAAGGGCTGGACCTTGATGACGGGCACACCTGGGCTGGGTGGGATCTGAATGTTATGGGCTTTATACACAGGCAGTGGAGCGGACGCCACGACGGGCAGCTCAACGGGGACATGAGGGTCCTGCGAGTCTGGGTCGTAGAAGTGACTGGAATGGCTGTTTTGACTGCTGAAGGAACTCACATTGAACGTGGTGGGCGTCTCGACAACAGGAAGGTCCTCTTCTGTGACTGAGACTAACTCAAGAGCACCAGATTCAGTGCCGTCCTCTACCGCATCCTGAGAGCGTGCGAGAACAATGACAAATAAGAGACACTTTTAAATTATACCAAGGAATGCACAAACAGTCAAACCTTTGGAAGTAATTAAGTTTTTTATGATTTAATGATCACCAAGGGTGCATTTATTTGATTAAAAATACAGTGAAACAGTAATATTATTAGAATTTAAAATAACAGTTTTTCTTTTGTTTGAATATGTTTTAAATTTAAATTTATTCATGTGATGACAAAGCTGAATTTTCAGCATCATTACTCCAGTCTTCAGTGTCACATGATCTTTTAGAATTGTATATGCTGATTTACTGCTCAGGAAACATTTCTTATTCATTGTATTATCATTATATGAAAATGGCTCTATTTATTCTTTGATTAATACAAAACTCAAAAGAACAGTGTTTATTTGAAATAGAAATATTTTGTAACATTATAAATTTCTTCATTGTAATGCATCCTTTCTGAATTAAAGTAGCCTATTTTTTTTTTAATAGTAGTGCATCAGCGATTTCTATAAAAATATTAAGTAGCACAACTGTTTCCAATCATGTGATAATGTGACACTGAAGACTGAAGTAATGGCTGCTGAAAATTAATCTTGGCCATCACATGAATAAATTGCATTTACAAAAAAATAATACAATAGAAAACAGCTATTTTAAATTGTAATAACATTTCACAATATTACAGTTTTTTGTATTTTTGATCAAATAAATGCAATAAGAGACTCCTTTCAAAGCATTAAAAAATCTAAATGATTCCAAACTTTCGACCAGTAGTGTATATTTATGGGGGGGGAAATAATTATGTTTTTGGTGATGCTTAAAGTAAAAAAAAGAATTTAAAAAATCAGCAATTAAAAGAAAAATTTAATTCTTGAAACAAAGAAATACTGCTATTAGTTGTTTGGCATAATCTATTATTGTTTAGCATATTAAAAAATAAGCAGCGAGGCTATTTGGTTTTGAAATATAAGTAATAAATGTCCACCAAATCAAAACCATTTTGTAGTGTGTAAGTCACATGCAGGAAGAAAGAAACCCAGACAGGCAGAAACACCTTTAGACCCTTAGTTAGTTAAACAAACAAATAAATACTTTGAACTTTGATATTTACAGAAAAGGCATGCTTCATTAAAAAATGAAAAAGATAGATGTCAGCACAAAAAAAACAGTAGTGGAAAAATATGTTTGAAAGCTTACTGACCAAGTTGTACATGCAAGTGTATTCAGTGTTTAATGACAAAAAAGCGGGTGCATGATGGAAAGTGTGACAGCAGAGGATATGTGGGAGCTGCTGTGATAGACCCAGCTTGTCAACCTTGATATAATTTAAAAGTGTCTGAGACACAAGGACATCCGCAAACACTGTGACATGTTGAATGCTCCCTTACCCTCTCCTGTCGGCTTCCTCCCTGTGAAACGGGCCGCTCCGTCTCTCCTGCTGTCTGGGAAGAAGCCATGACTCTGCTCTCGTCCTCTCATCTTCACTCCATCTTGGATGACAGTGACATCGATCCACTTAGGAAGTGAAAAAGTGATCTTGGGAATTCAAGGCCCTCAGTCAGTTTAATCCTTGTCAGAAAGAATGAAGAATGAATTATTTCCCAGCGAGTCCAAATCCAAGTAACTGCCTGTGAAATTAACTTTTGAGAAATTGAGAAATGAAGGGGATAATTTGAAGGTGACTAACTAGAGCGCTACAGATCTGTCCTTCTGAGTGACTTCATATCATATTCTTGTCCCTCTCTCTCTCTCTCTCTCTCTCTTTCTCTGCCACACCTGCTCTTGAGCTCAAAGTGACACCTGAGCAGGTGTGCAGCAGTGTTTTGTCGTCTCACTACAGCTGTGGATCAGGTAATGCTGGACAGTCTCAGCTTCTGAGGTCCGGTTACACTGAAAGGTCAGGCAGGAGCGCCAAGCACCAAAAGGTCATCAGTCTTTAGGCTGTTCCCTAACTGAACCTCCAGGGCCCATAATTATATTCATCAAGGACCTTGCGGTTTCTAGATCTGTTTCTTTAAATAGATTCAAACCCAATTAAAGAACAACTTTTATTATTAACTTAAATTTTTAGTTTCTGAAAATTTGTTTTGATATTTTTATAGGGCTTAAAGTAAAAAAGAAAAAAAAAACATGGGCGTTCAGAGACTTTAATAAAGAAAAAAAGTAAAAGACTGAAATGAACTGAAAAAAACATGAAACATTATATTTTTCATTAAAAACACGAAACATATGATAAACATATTTTTGATAATGTATTAATTAATTTATTTTGTGTGTGTGCTTAAAGCAAAATATATCTAGGTGATCAGAGAATGGTGAAAACCCCACAATTTTGTTCATTTTCTTCACAATTGTTTTCATATCAAAGAGTTTCTCAATGTATGTTATATGTATATATTCTATTCTATAAAAAAAATACATTAAAATGCAATTCAAAAGCAAAGTAAAAACATCTATATGTTCAGATAAAAAAATATATATTTTTAAAGCAATACTATTGGACATTTTCTTTATAGATGCAAAAACAACAATAAATAAATGGAGTAAGTAAAAGTAAAAAATGTCTACATGTTTGTAGATTGTAATAAAAGAAAAAAATCTTGTTAGAAGACTGAATTTTTGGGGGGGGAAATGTTTGGCATAATGTAATACTGTTTAGCGCAGTAAAAATAATCAGTAAGGCTCTACTAGTAATAAATATCCACAATGTTTAGAGTAAAGCAGGAAGCTATTTTATTGTGACAAGAAACCTATAGGCAGGCAGAAACCTCTTTATCTTAAATAAATACATACATACATAAATGTGTGGAAGCTCGATGATTTAAATTGTATATTCAAGCATATTCAACGTGTAATGAAATGTCTTTTTGTCATCAAATGACAAATGATTAAATGAAATGTCATTAAATCTACAAATCATTGGATGTGTTCAGGTTGTTCATTATGTGGGTGACACAGTTAACGAGTGTCATTACATCAGACTAATGCTGAGAGCCCTTGTTAGTTTTCCATCATGCTCTGAGAGCTGTATCTGGTGTCCTGGTGTCTTTTTTACGCCGTGTTTCTGAGATACATTAGAACATACTGGTAAAAAATGTATAGCCTGAATGCACTGTAAGTCGCTTTGGATAAAAGCGTCTGCTAAATGCATTTATTATTATTATTATTAATTCAATTAAATGATAAATTATAACTTCCAGTGATCCTGCGACGGACACACGCACCGTCGCGTTCTCACCAGCAGAAGTCGCATCGTTGCTCGGGCTTTCAGGCAGCTGTTCATGAGTCAGCGGTCTTCTCGATTGTTACGGGTGAAGTGGGCTCTGTAGCAGTGAGGATTCACGTTAACCGATTTTTGCGCGGTTATAATCCGGTCCTCCCTCTCTCGCGCGCAGTCACGACTACTGGATAATCTGAGATGCGTTTGACTCAGCAGCCATAGACTGACAGAAACAGAGGCCAAATATACAGTGGCATTTATAGTTTCAAAACGTTACTAACTGTTGCCTCCAGTGGAAGATCCAGATCATTCATTTTCAGCCATGTGGTCTGTTAATGGTGTGTTTTATTAAAGGGGTCATATGATGTTGCTAAAAAGAACATTATTTTGTGTATTTGGTGTAATGAAATGTGTTTATGCAGTTTAAGGTTCAAAAAACACATTATTTTCCACATACTGTACATTATTTTTTCTCCTCTATGCCCCGCCTTTCTGAAACGCATCGATTTTTACAAAGCTCATCGGTCTGAAAAGCGAGGTGTGCTGTGATTGGCCAGCTATCCAGTGCGTTGTGATTGGCCGAATACCTCAAGCGTGTGACGGAAATGTTACGCCCCTTACCATACTGTGATGCCCTGTCCCGGCCGGAGAGCGATGAGTAAAACCCATTATAAACGAGGCATTTGTTGCATCCAGTGGGGACATAATTACAGATTATAATGACTTAGGGGCCATTCACATATCACGCTCAAGTTCGTTATTTCAAATGAAGACGCGCAGCAGGCGCGCTCATAATGGAAGCGACGCGGTCGCGACGCGCACGTGGTGCGACGCGTTCATTTTTACCAGGAGCGTCCGCGCCGCATCGAGATAAAACATTTCAACTTTTCAGAATGCCACAAGCGCACCGCGGGTCATGTGACAAGAACCAACCAATCAGCTTCATCTTTTCCCGTAACAGCATTGAAACTCAGTCAAGATGAAGGAACAGCTGATCATTGCTGTACAGGGATAGCCATTTTTATATAAATTTAGTAGCAGAGTTACTGCAAGCGATTTTTAGTGTTGCAAATCCATTTATCCTTTGCTGAAACTTCCGAGTCTTCATGGAGAGCGCAGGCCATGGTTGCTTAGCAACGGCAGACGCCTCCGGAGCGCAAGCGCCTGAACACTTTAGAAAAAAAGCAGAAAGCAGCGCGCCTAGCGTTTCCCACGCGATGGCCCCTTATACTGTCTTTTTACGTGTTGCGTTGCATCGCGCCGCGTGTGACAAGAACCAACCAATCAGCTTCATCTTTTCCCGTAACAGCATTGAAAGCTCAGTCAAGATGAAGGAACAGCTGATCATTGCTGTACAGGGATAGCCATTTTTATATAAATTTAGTAGCAGAGCGACTGCAAGCGATTTTTAGTGTTGCAAATCCATTTATCCTTTGCTGAAACTTCCGAGTCTTCATGGAGAGCGCAGGCCATGGTTGCTTAGCAACGGCAGACGCCTCCGGAGCGCAAGCGCCTGAACACTTTAGAAAAAAAGCAGAAAGCAGCGCGCCTAGCGTTTCCCACGCGATGGCCCCTTATACTGTCTTTTTACGTGTTGCGTTGCATCGCGCCGCGTAAACATAAAACCATGTCTGCATTTGTGATCGGAGAAATTATAAACAATTTTTCTTTGCGTGAACATTTGGGCGGCGTCATGCAAATCTTCCCCGAGCCGTTTTAGGTAGGCGTGGCTGACTCTTAACTTTTATGAAGAATATCTCTTTGGATTTGAGACTTTAGTCTTTGCAACTTTACAGATCTTCTTTATGCACCAAGAGCTTGTAACACTCCAAAGAGAAAGGACAAATTTAAATCGCATCATATGACCCCTTTAATAAAATATAGGCTAAATTATTCATCTCTCATCATGAAAACGTAACATGACATGTATATTATAACAAATTCGTTATTTCGTATGAGAAACAGTTCATTCAGCCTTGAAATGTTTCTGATCACTTATTAAAATTATTTTAAAATACATATTGGAGTCCATATTATGTTGGGAGTGTGTTTCTATACTTAGTTACACTTGTGCAAAATGTGCACAAAAATATCCCCAGACACAAAATCAATTGTTTTAAGGACAATTACTCAAAAGGAAATGTGGCTGATAAATAAAGGAAAATAGTATATTTCACTAGAAAATAAGAAATTGTTACTTTGTTACTTTTAATTAGAGCTAGTCCCTCAGAGTTTGCTTTATTTTATACATATGCTATCGTTTAAATAGCTCTTAAAATGATAAAATGATGATCATTCTTTGTAGCACCTTAGAAAAGGGATAGAGAAACATTCTCTCAGTATCTCACCTTTCACTGAGGCCAGACAAACCGCTCTGACCTCGTACGTTTAGATTCACAGTGAGGTAGGCAACATGCCAAAGATAAAAAAGATGAACTAAAGCCTGAAGCTGCCAGCCCACCTGTCCAAAAATAGTCCTGACCTGAGGCTTTGCATACGAGTCAGAATATTTTAGTTTCAGTGGACAATAAAGTACATAGGGCATTTAGGATAGTGGTTTTATACCTTAAATATTCAATAGAATATGTATTAACCCTCTAAAGCCTGATATATGAAATAATAGTCAGAAAGATCTAATTGATTTGAAATGGAACCGTTTATTGAACAAGAAAATAAAAATGCATTTTTGTTGTCTTTTATGGCTCATATAGTATGATATGAGAATATGGAACTCATATTCAAGGAGGAAAAACACCTCGGTGTTATTCAGAGGCCCAAACTGAGCAAAAATATGCGGTTTATTGCAGATTTTATTTTATTTATATGGCCAAATGAAATTCTGATAAATGGAGATCTTTATACATATGAGTTGTCACTCTATATCTCCCAATAATATGTCTTAAGATATTTATATGCTTAGTGTTATGATCGAAGCGCTGTCGTTTTTATTGTCAGGGGAAAAACATAATACAATACATAACTGAGAAATACAAATGAATGTTACACAAAAATCTGATTCTGAAATAAATAAAGAATCAAGTAGCCTAAACCTAAGTTGCCATCTTGAAATATTAATGCCAATATAAAAGTTATTCTTTTATACTTTCATTGAAAAATTTCACAGCAAAAAGACACGTACACCACGACCTGAAGGTGGACATTTGTACAATTATAGGCTACTAAAAGGCTTTTTACTTTCAAAAACGTATCAATTATCTTTCAGATAACAGAACACTTAGCCTATCAAATATGATACAGTAGGCTTTAGGGTGACATATGTAAATCAGCACAATTATAATATGTAATTTAGGGGACG